AGCCTAGATAAGTTTTCAGAGCGAAGAGTAAGGTTTACCACGTAAAAAAGACTTGTTGAGTCAGTGTCACAATCACAGGAGCTGAAAACAAATAGACACTAAACAAACACAGCCCAAGATATATTACCTTTCTCCAGCAAGATCAAGACAGACACCTGAAGGAAACCAGCCCCCAAATCCAACTATTTGAAAAGACCAGTCTCTGGTGTGGCATCTCTGTACTAGTGCAGTTCCCAACTTCATTAATGCTGCCTTGAGTTTTTTTTGCTAACAGTGATCGGATGTGGAGAAATACTGTAAGATTAGACACCAGTCCAGTAGCCAGCAAAACTTGGGAAATTTTGCCAGGAAACAGAGTTGCTCATAGGGGCTTTGTGTACACATAAGCATTCAGAGATAGCAAGGCCACTTGTCAGGAACACCTTCATTTAGGGGCTAGTTCTGCCTCATTTAGAGACAGAAATATCAGCAGTCCATCCCTTGAGCAAACTAAACCTTTCTCCTCCCAAATTAGTATTTCATCTTCTAGAAGAAATGCAAAGGTCCCAAGAGAGGCTTCCTCTCAAAATAGCAAAATGCTGCCAGGCGAGACCTCGCTGCAGCCCTGGGAGTAGCAGGGAAGGGAGGTAGGATGCTGCTTGAAAGGTGCCCTGACTTTTGGGGGTGCCGCTTACCTTTCTAAACCCATGCCCAGGACAGTGCCCGCACCGGCAATGCTGGTCCTTGTCCTAATCATGACAAGTAAAAGGTAGCAGTATTGGAGGCTGGATGACACTTAACCAACTTCATGAGAAGTCAGTTGTTTGACTCTCCCAAGCCACCAGTATCTCAGGCCAAGACCACCACCAAACACTGAAGAAAGGTAATACACAAACAATAGAAGAATTTGTTTTGAATGCACTGAAAGACCAATTAAGCATCTGACAAAAATTGACCTGAAGGAACCTGTTCTTTCGCTTCCCATGTTCACTGCACTTTAATCATCCTCAGCTCTCCCCTTACACTGGAGAGCATATATATTTTTAAAAGAAAGGCAACCAGATAAGCAAACTGTCAGGCGAGAAGAACAAGCAGTTCATGTCATACCTTTGAAGTCGCTTCTACCACACCCAACTTCTCTAAGAATGCACTTCCTGGATGTGTTTTTGTTTTCTGATAAAAATATAAAATGAGCAATAAATGTGGGAAATGTAGTTTTTCCATCCCCAGAAGCAGAACATATTTCTTGTAAATCATGGATTGCCACCTTCCATAATTCCAGGCAGATGAGTAGCCCACAAAAATCAAAAAGCAACCCTTTCCTGAGGTTTGGCTTACTTAGGCAAACAAATCAGAAACATCCTGGGAACAAAGCTCCATGTGTCTTAATAACCCTACTCGGACCCAAGCCAGAGTCTCTTCTGCCTCTGCTCCAACTACAGAAATAAATGCTGCGCCTGCATCCACATCAATAAAAGCTATCAAGCACTTTCCCAGCACCGTAAGTTTTCAGGTAGACACTGGTGGCCTGCTAAATATTTTGTGTCCCTTGCCCTTCAGTAGGAAGGGATATATACTTGTTATTAGAAACAATCATGTCAGATATGCCAGAATTTCCCAGTATCATCGGAGATAAAAATGAGTGAGTTATGCTCAGAGTAATACGCTTTCTTCTGAAATTGCCTACTGAGCTCTTGAGACAATGAAATTAGGCTCTAGGCAGATTAAATTAGTGTCAAACGTTTCAGTCTCCCCCCAGGAATTTTCTAACTTGGAGTGCCAGGAGTGCCCCTTCCGGCAGGGCACAAGTGCCACTGAAAGCACCGTGTCATTGCCGAGTGCCCCTCAGCAGCTGCACCTACCCCATGCTCAGGCACTGACTGAACGCATCCTTGTGCTCTGACACCCTCGCAAGCCCAAGGTACTTGATCCCTTTGTGAGATGACTCCGTCAACACCACCCAAGAAATGAGTGCCAAGCAGTCAGATCAGGCTGATCCAAAGGCCAAAATATCTCACAATTCTTTTTCCTGTATAATCACCTCTTTAAAGAAAACACAAAGTGGATGTATAATCACCTCTTTAAAGAAAACGCAAAGTGGATCAGTACTATCAGTACTGAGGAAAACAGTACCTCATACCAAAAAAAAAAAAAAAGATAAAATACCTAAAAGCATGGTCACTTGCAGCGAGAGGTGCAGATGACAGTATCCTCAACAAAACCTCGGCGCCATTAGCTATTCACAGAGAGATGTCATTTCATCTTCGCATACCCTAACTAGAAATTCGATCCCATTTCCAGTCTCCATCATCATTTCCCACTCTGAACTGCTGAACAACGTGCAGGCTCCTCTCTCCATCACTTTACCTCGGCACCAAAAGCCACTTTAGAATCCCCAGGGTGAGTTATCGCAGAGGATCTGCGAGCACTCCCCTGAAGCACTCAGCGGCCTGCGTGATGGTTTTCCAACATTTTCTCATGAGAGGTGCAACCAGTACGAGAGGAGCCAGGCTGAACCCGTGAACCACCGAAAGCCTCACCACAGTGATTTAAGTGTTTAATCTTGTCTGGTATCAGGCCTGCAGGAGTGTCCCCAGGGGAGAGAGCAGGGCAAGCCTGCGGAACAGCACTTCACCCCTCAGCACAGAGAGGACTGCCTCACAGCGTTCATCTCCTCAGTAACCCGCCACAAAAAGGCCCATCTAAGTACGCACCCAGACCCTCCCTGCACCAACACACATCTTGTTTCTACCACATTCTTCCACTATTGCAAGGAATCGCATCCCGGTGTGTACTCAGTCCCTTCACTAACAGCCTCCAGCTCTCACGCTGGAAGGGACAGGGAGCAGGTCATCCCGATACAGTTCCTCTGGCCTGACATGACTCCGCAGGCCTGTCATACTTTGCCAGCCATTGCTCTCCCAGCTGAAGAGCGCTACCCTGCTCTGTTGCTTCCCTGCAGGGAAGCTCCTTCATGCCTCTGGACCTCTTCCAGTCCTAAAACATGGTCATCCAAGGAGACACCCTAACCAGACACAGCAGGGAGGCAGGGGTGGACAACAGGTTTACACCGTAGCATAGCAGCACACTTGTTTTTCTTCAGTTCCTTTCCTACAGCTCCTAATGCTTCATCTGCTTTTCTCAACCACTGCTGTTCCACCAACTCAGTGCTCAGCAGGGACAGCCCATGATGGCAGTTCCTCCTCCTGAAAAGTCACAGCCAGCTCAGAGTCCACCTTCTTATTCGTGCAGCAAGGAGTCTTTCCCCATGTGTACAGCCCCCTTTGCTCATGCAGACTTGTACCTGAGCTGTAGCACTGAGGACCAAGGCAAGGAAATCATGGGGAAAACATGACCTTGTCAGAACTGCTATCATTTCTTTCAAGTATACAGGGACCAGGCTTCAGGTAACAACCTGCAATCTGGACAACCTGGTGACTATTAACTCTTATTTGGGGCACATCTACTAAATACACAGGCAATACAACTACATGGTGCATGACGCAAAACACCCAAACAACGGCTCCAAAATCAGCACCAAACAAGAGAAAAACAAACAGCAGGATGGAAAGACTCCATCTTAAAAAAAAAAAATGGGCTTTCACCAGTTTCATAGTATTACGTTAAATCAGGTTTATCTCAAGCTTAATTTCACCACCATTATTTGTATCACAGACAGTAACCACCAAAATTTAATTAGGATGTTTATTCAAACACAAGTTACATGAGACCATTCAAGAAATACACTGCAATTCGGCCTCCACATACCAGATTTTTTTCACTTAGCTTGTCTACAAGACATACTTCATCAAAACAGCACAATCAAACTAATTAAATGGTTATGGCAGATAATTGCGTGTGATGCAAAAACAGTTTCTAAGAGCAGAGACCATACACAAAGAACATATTACTGGACTACAGCCCAGCACAGATCGTTCAGAAGGTGTAAGAGGAGATTTTCTCCAACAGAACACAAGTATACAGCATCATCAGTATACATTTTGCATTAATACCCATAATTATTTAAAAAATAGAAAAATGTTAACTTCAAATATTACTTGGCTAGCCACTATACCTATAAGGTAAAACCGTAATGGACTAACTCTGCTTAGGAGATGAAAAACACTAAGTCTCCAGAATTCACTAGAGCCCAACTCAGCAAGCTCAGCTTAAGCACGTGCTTAAGTCCTACTGACACTAGTGGGGCTTACACATATTGAAGTATAATAATTAACATGGAGAGATTTCAGCATGCATCAACAGTTAAGTACATGCTAAACACCCTCCCTGAATCAGGATCATATTCCTTAAAGTACAACAAAGTCATATACAAACTATAAAACTCATGATCTTTCTCCCTCCATCGTCCCATCAAAAGTGAAACCTCGACTGGGTAGAACGAAAAACTGACACAGTCCCCTGAAGAAGCATGGCTATTCATGCTTTATTAACTCCAAAAGCATGCACAAATCAGTGCTAGGGACTACCTTAACTGTAGTTTCGATCTTCTGTCTTCCAAAACAACAGAATTCACCTGATTTGCACCTGTACAGCATTAAACCTCTATATGCAATTTGCCAAGTTCAAGATCAAGGAACTTGTCTCTTCAGTTCATTCCCAAAGCAATCAACAGATTCTTAGGCCTACCCAGCTGTACAATGCCAGTGACTATATACAATCCTGCACAAGATACTGGAAAAAAGCTACAAAGTTACATAAATAAATGTTCAACCTCAAAAACATTTTATTTCTCTTGCACTTCATATTTAAATGCTTTTAAGTAAACACAACAAAAAAAAAACCTCTGCAATGTTGACATGTATCAGCCCTCCCTACATAAAAAGATTTCCTGTAGAATTATCCTTGTCCAGAAGTTATCTGTATGGCTGTTTAAATGAAAATCAGTCTTGCTGTAGCTATGAAATCCAGGTATCCAGGCAAATGTTCCACGTATTTGGGAATGAAACATTCCCATTTGCTCAGAGGAATCCGATTGTTGGGTTTTGTTAGTTTGGGGTTTCTTTTCCCCCCACTCTGATATAACCCACTATATGATAGTGAACAAAACACTTTTGTTTCATAGAAACAACTAACATTTGCCCACACCAGGCAAATGGTCTATTTACAGATACATTAGGACTGCCTGACTGACAGTGAGTGTGAGTTGCTGAACTCCAAGAAACATGGAGCCTAAAATGGCGACACTCTCTGATGAATCACCTTGCCTTTTAGGATACGTCTTATCTGGAGAAGAGAAGAAAAACACATTAATATTCATCATCCTGAAGTGAGTCAATCTAAAAAACCAAACTCCTAGACCCTGTCCTGCATTTCTCATTTATCTGAGCCTCGGTTCCGAGTTCAGTTACAGCAGAACTGACCCAATTTTACAGCATTTGAACCAACAAAAGGCCACAGAATTACTCAGTTGCGTAAGTTATTAGCTTCTTGAGTCAAGAGTCATCTTTTTCATCGTGTATTTGTACAGCTTCAAGGAAAAGGGATTTTTCAGCTGTTATTCAGGCCCAAGAACTGCCATCACCAATTATGACAAGAACAACAAAAGCATGATCTTGGGCCATACTGAACAAGAGAAGGGATATAACCTTTCTATGTACGTTACAAGGTTACAAAGAAAAAAAAATACACTATTTTGACAGACAAAAGCTGTTGAGATGGAAAAATTAAAAGCTATAAGTGAAACCTATAGTTTCAGGTCTCTATATTCTGCCTGATCCTCACATTAAGCCCAAGGATCCCTGAAGCAAACAGCATTTGCTATATCTCTTCCTTAAAAGCTGCAGCTCAAGATCCAAAAGAAACTTCTGGAGAGGAATAAAACTTTAGTGTAGATGGGGACAGATGGGAGCATAGGAGAGGGTGGTTTTGTTGGGTTTTGGGTTGTTTTTTACCTGCTCTCCTACAAGGCCATCAGGAACCAGATGAACTGGCTGCTCATTCTCCAAGTTCCTGGCACTCGGATCCGCTCCCTTCCGCATTAGCAGGCGCACAGCATCCAGCTGGCTCACCCGATACTGCAGGCTGGCAGCCACGTGGAGTGCCGTGTTGCCGTTGTAAGCCTGGAGAAGGCAAAGCAGCTCCGTGAGGGACAGGCAGGGGCGTGAGCCTCAGGACACTCGCAGTGGCACAGGCATGCACATCCTGTATTGTATCTGTATTCCGGAAGAGTTTACCATACCTTTGCATTAACAAAAGAGAGGCAGTTGGGCAGCTCCAAGAAGAGACGAATGAGCTCCAGGTTTGCTTCTTCTGCTGCCAAATGTAAAGCTGAGCGACCACTTTTGCGATCCTACCAAAAAACCCAAGAAAACCGTCAGTCTCCCCTGCAGGCGCTTCACCTACCCAGGGTGAACACGCAGACAAATAAAACAGAGAACAGAGTAACTGCATAGTGCTGCACAAACTTGGTTGCACTACAACTCACTGAAAGTCAATCCAAATATCTAAATATGAATATCTAATAAACCATGGACCAGATCTCCTTTGGCAATAAGCTTACACAGCCAAAACATCAGATGTTGAATCAAGCAATGGTCTGGCCCAGCACAGACTTAAACTGGACAGGTAAGCAGTTTTAATTAAAATGCTTCAAGAACGAGGTATCATCAGCACACACCCTATTACTACAGACACCTCAGAGCGCTCCAAACATATTCTTACTTTTAAGACACAACAACTGCAGCCAGCGTTAGCATGATTCTTAGTCCAGAAATTAGACTGTCACCCTCCCTCCTCCTCCAGGGTTCATTTGCATTGATAATACCCTGCTCTGAATAAATGCAACATTCCCATTCCACTTGGGTAAATTAAGCTGTAGGGAAGCTTGCCAATTAGTCTACTTCCTTTGTAATAAAGCCGAAATGTAGTGGGGGGGAAAGGGACATATTCTTCCACATTCTCTCTGGATCTGACACTTCAGACAAAGCCGTTTTACTTACTTTCGCTTCAACAGAGGCTCCCATATGTATCAGAGTCTTGATGGTTTCCACCAGGCTCTTGTTCCTCAGCAGAAGGTCCTGGACCTCAGGGGAGTGAGGCGGCTGGCTGTTCTGCAGTTCGTGCAGCACAGCATTATGGGCCAGAACAGCACAGTGCAACGCCGTCAAACCTTAACGTTACAAAAAATCATCAGTAACAAACAAAGGCAATACAGAAGCATTGCCTGCCCGTTTGTTTCAAAGGATGGATAAAGGAGCTGCTACCCCAATCGAGTCCAGGGGCAGTTCCGTGTTTGTAAGTGGCAATGGCTACTCCTGAGTGGCTTGAGATTTAGGCTGCCCATCACCAGAGGAGTTAAGTGGCAACCTACTCTGAGCTCTCAGCCACCAAATCAAGAAAGAATCAATGTCTAATTACGGTTTGGTTTGGGGTTTTTTTAGGGGTGGAGGATTGGGGTTATTTTTTTATTACAAAGTGTAGATTAGAAAGAGCTGTTACATGGAGAAGAGGTTCAATTAAAACAGCTCTCTGATGCCAGAGACTCCGGCTTCTGTATCCACCGACGTATCACTGGCGCTCAAACGTTTTACACAACAGCCAATTACTACCTACACTCCCCATGTCAAAGACTGCAATCACCTGTAAGAGCAAAGAGGTCCTGCCAGGCACAGGCTAACGGTGTGTTTATCTGACAGATATGCCAATTGTAATGTAATTTCAATTCTAACTGTAAATTTCAACCTGGCAAAGGTGCGCTCCATTTTATTGTTTCTTAACCCAGGATAACATTTACATCAGCAGCTATAAAACACTAACATCCAGTAACTCTGTAAATTATAAACTCTTAACTACTCACCATCATAGTTTGTTGCCTCAAGGTCCACGTACTGATTGCTTCCCATGGCTCCCTTTTGGATTGCCTACAAAAGTGGGAACAGATATGCATTTAGACCTTATCCAAACCACACATTGCTTCCTCAAGCTTGTATAGAGTCTTACTGCAAGAACGAATGGCATTAAGGAGGCGTTTATTGTTTTCATAGACTAGGGGATTCCACCAAATTAAAATGTTGGTGAGAACCTTAACGTGAAATTCAGCCTCAACTTTGAGCCATTCTTCTAGAGCCCTGAGACATACTCACAAGGCTACACAGAGAGAAAGATAAAGAGAAGTGGCATTTTTGGTGTTTCCCCAAGACAACTGACACGAAGTAGGAGCGTTAACAGTCAGGGCAGACCCGCGCCTGCCTCTTACCTGGAGGACCTGGGCATGCCCCTTCTCAGCACAAACATGCAACGGCGTCCTACCCCAGCAGTCCGTGGTGTTGACTTGAGCCCCCAAGCTAACCAAGTCCTGCACAATGAGGTGCTGATTGGCAGCCACAGCAACCTGGAAAGCACTCTGCAAACACAGAGAAGAAAATTTAAACCGTTAGTCATCTGATCTCTAACAGGAACGAGCAACTAAAACAAACAAAAAGCCTAGCTACCTGGCATTATTTAAGCAGCGATTATGGATACCAGGAAGCCCAGACAAATGAAGCAGGGCACATAGTTTTACCAGCTCAAGGTGATCCCAAACAGTATCAATAGCTCAAGGTTAATATTAGCATGCAGGCTAAATCTCAGGGTTAATATTAAATAAGCATTCCACCACATCTTCCTCAAGGTCCAGACACGCAGAAGCACTCGGGTGCACAAAGCAGGTGCACACATTTTTGAGAAGCTCACCTGGCCATTGTGCTCTTTAATATCCAGCATGTGCAGGGCAGCCATCTTCCTTGCAAGAACGTAGGAGAGCGCTCGTCGGCCCTGAGCAACGGCGATGTGAAGGAAGCTGCGGGAAAGAGGGGAAACACAGAGTTACACCACCCTATAAGCCAGGGCTCAAGTCACTACAGAGACCCGAACACACGGGAGGGGTGTCGTGCTGCCAGCTGCAGACCTCTCCCAGCATGACTAAGACAGGGACACAGGTACCTTCTTACCAGGGCAATTTAAAGCATCTCAATTCAAATCTTTTTTTTCTCCCCATTTACTAGATTAATAGACTAACGGGAAGTATCTGACATCAGACAACACAAACACCTTTTCTACTCGGTGTGCTGCAACCCTGCATCGCAGCCCACCCGCGAGACCACGCGTTTCACCCCATTAGCAAAACTATGGCACTCGTGACACCAACACTGCTAAGGAACTGCTTCCATTACAGCCCCACGGTCCACCAAAACCCAAACAGAGATGTTCCCCAACCTCCCACATCAGAAACACCAAGATACACAGTACTCACGTGTCTCCATCCGAGTCTTTTGCAAGGAACTGGTCTTGAGAGATGTTAGCCAGTTTGTTTTCCTCCTGCTCCACCTGCCACTGGAAAAATGACTTGCCCAGCTGGGTTGTGCTTCTGGTGATGTTCTGGTCAGGCAGAGAGACATTCAAACTAGCCAAAGAGACGCTGCGCTCCAGACTACCACAGACGTTACTGGAAAGCAAGCTTAAGTTCGGAGGGTGGGGGCCGACCTCAGCCTGCGGGTGGGCACTGGTCAGCGGCTGGAGGGGAGCAGAGATGCCCTCCGAGCCCTCAGAGTCATTCAAAAGGGAGGAGAAGCTCTGTGATGGGCAGTACTGCAGTTCATGGCTCTCAAAGGTGTTCTGCTGGTAGCCAGGAGACTGGTCACTGGCAGCAAACGGCCTGTACTCCAGGGAGGTGTCCGAAGGATAGCCCTGTGACAAATCTTGGTTCTGGGACGGAGGAAACTGGTAATGCTGTGGCGGATCAAGCATGTGCTGGGAGGTATGGTCTTGGAATGCTTGGTACTTTTGGGATGGGGAGAAAGCCTGTGCTCCCGGGCTGTCCTGGTACTGCTCACCGGGCGATCTGTGACTGGAGACACTGTGCAACCAGCTAACCTGCACAGTGTTCAGAGAAATGGGGTTCGACTCATTCTTGATGTTTATGATGTTCTGAAGCAGATCAGAACTGCTGTCATGCTTCGGGTCATTTTTATGAGTCTCCTCCATATTATCCATAGAAGTTGGTGTCTGGGGTGGTGTCTGCAAGGGGAAAAAAAGGAAATCAAAACAAGCCCCAGAAAGTTAGAGGTATAGCTGTATCTGGTAGTTTCTGATCAGACCAAGCAAACTGAAAAATAAAGGCATGGAAAAAATTACCACAAACTTACCAGGAGGTGTGGGTGAACAGTAGCTTGGCGCTTGAAAGAAGGTCCATCAGAAAGGAGCTCAGGAGCCTTTCTTTTGCCACTGTGACCTAGGATGCTCTTCAGCTCTGCTGAAAACAAAGTAAATTTAGGAATTCATTTGGAGATGACTCCTATACCCGACTTTTAAAATCTTGTGGCACAGTATTTTTAAGAAGTGTGGTGTTTTTTACCTGTGTACTGGTCGTAGTTCACCAATCCTCCTTGTGCCTTTTGAGAAGAAAGCAGATTATGCCATTATTATCATGTTATTGGGGGGGAAGCAACAGCTTTATTCTATAAACACATAATATACCTTAGAATAATTTGAGTACATGGCTGTCTAACCCTAATTTAATTGTTTTTAATTAAGGGTGGAAAATGGGAAGATTTTTATGGAACTTAAATAAAAGCCACCATTTTTCTTAAAGGCTTTTTAAGCTATTTGTTACAATACCACAAAACTGAAGAAAAAACTTGAGAAAGGCCCAGTTCCTTAGTCAGGTGTGAGGACTTTTTTTTTTAAACATAAGTAAAACAGCCAATTTTATACTTCTTCAGTGCCGTGAACTTTTCTTTGCAAAAATTCTCCTGTGACAACACTTCTCTAGGAGGCTGGCACACACGTGCTCAAAGAGACTATCCTAAAACAAAAAAAATCCCCTTAATCTTCCTAGAATTTCCTATATTTTTTCCGTTTCTATCTTTTCCGAGCGGAAG